TAAGTTTGGTTACTTTAAACCCAAAATGATGCACACACACAGGAAAACACGAAGCAATAAGCAAAAGTTAAATCGAATGCTTAACAATTAATTGACCTTTCGAAAGCACGTGTGTGTGAGTGCGCATGTACAAACACGTGGGTATTTTTATTTCATTTTTTATACTCATCACCGAAAGATGAGGGATACATTCATTTTGTCGAAACGTTGGCAACGCCCAGAGAGAAGCATCAGAGATCCCACAAAGTGTATATGTACTTGATCAGCACCAAATTCTAAATCGTTTTAAGCCTGTCCGTCTGGACGTCTGCCCATCTGTGTAATGTTTGTTGTAAACATTTTTCTGGCCACAAAATTGAAGCTATCGACTTGAAACTTGGCAAAAACATTGGAAGCTCTTGCACACAGATTTGTTTATGAAAATGGGCCAAATCGCTCGAAGGACATGCCTACAGTACTATGTAAAATGAGGACACCTCTGTTTTTCAAAAGGAATAAAAAAAATGGTTTTAGGGCATTACTCATAAACTATAGCAGTATTTAGGAATTTTATGGGAGGCTTCCCAATATGTAACGCACGTGAACATTTATAAATTAATAAGCAAGAAACTATCGTGTCGCCTGGCTGGTGTCGGCTGAAAAAGTTTCCATTCCGCTTCGGTTCAAAGGTTTAAACACTTCTTCTTCATCGCAGTATGCGATTTTTTATTAAAAACTTTTCATTAATATTTAATCAGTAAGTGCTCGTCAATGTGAGTAACTGCCAGGTCGTAAGTTTTTCGGTAACTTCTGCGACATACAGTGGAAGTTTTGCCCATATCCCCCGATATGCGGGTGAAAGAAGAACCTTTCGAGAGGAAGAATCCCCTCTCCTGACTTACAATAAACGTACATATGCACATTTTTTCGTTTTATTTAATAAAATACCTGTTTACGGCAAGACCACTATATTCAGTAGAGTGATGAGTTGTTATTATTTGTTGTTGATTCTTTGCATTTTAACAATGATGGCGACAGTATGTGATTACGTATTGAAAGGTTGTTGATACAGAATTGATTACACGCTTTGGCGGAAGAAAAAGGAAAGGCTTTATATATTTGTATTTGAAATTTTACAATTTTGTTTGGAACTTATTTTATCTTATGAAAGCGTGAGCAATTTGGCTTATGCCTATTTTGGCAGTTTTGAAAAAGCTTTTCTTGCACCGCTTATGTATACATATCGCTAAAAAAGTCGAAACTTGAAAATGAAACTTGGTTAACACCGCTCACATTAGCGCCCAAATTTTTTCAATAAAAAAAAAATCAATCAATACGACAAAGAAATTTTAGTTATTCAAAATATAAAAGAGGTAAGATACTGGTGTGGTTTGAGCGATATGCACCAAAGGGTTTGAGAAAAGCGACGTTATCAAGTTTAATTTTCTTTCAAGAGGTCTTTTCTTTTTGGCTGTCAGATGTGTTTATACATTTACTACAAAAATACAAAAATTGAATGTATGACATGTTTTCTTACATTGTACTTCAAGCAACACTCAGTGACGACTCAGTATTTAAACTAAACTTTGTATCTCTTCTTCAATCGCATTTAAATTGTATTTTGCTACCTTGCAGAGCTCTCTTGTATTCAAAGTTAGAGAAATTTTGTGTTTTTGTGCCCTCTATTCGTAGCACAATGCAGATCAAAAATGTTGCAGCATACTTGACAAATTCTGTCTGACAGTTGAAATGTCTCTTCATGAAATGTAATCTAAAAAAAAAATCAAAAAATCGATTTATGTAAGTTTATGTTCGTAATAAGCCCAGTCCTGAATGTCCGATCCTATTTCTCTCCCTAGTATGATAATGTGTTCAAATTCCTTGCTTTCATTCCTAATGTCTTCTATCAGTATTGCAGCAGTGTATTCGTAGCACATTGAAGATCACAAACGTTGCA